TCCCACTAGGGTCGGCTACCTTTGTGGTGTTCACAGAACCCCCGTTCACGGAATTGGGTTTTAAGAAGAAATGGAAGTTGTTTGTACAAGGGTTTCCCGTTTTATGTCATCCTGCATCCCCACGGACTCACTGGGAATTCTCATGCTCCTTGAGATTTTCAAAGCCCTCTGGTTTTCTGTTACTGAAGAGGGCTTGGCTTGGGGTGTGGGTGTGTGTGTGTGTGTGGGGGGGTGCGGTTTTAAAGAAGCCTGTGTGCTCCAGGCTATGAATCCAGTAAGGACACAATTTTAAAAAAAGAGTTTAAACTGAGCTATTTTCTCTTTTCATAGTGAACCCATTGAAATGGTTACCTTTTCTAAAAATGCAGGCAAGGGGGTAACCTGTTCATGGTTTGCTTGTTCTAAAAAAAATTCTGACTTTGGGATGAGAGTCTACATAGAGTGACTCGGGATTCAGTTGAAATAAAAAGCTCAATGCGTTCTCACTCCCTGCCTTCCAGTCAGTCTTGACCGGCCGCGACCCTGGAGGACAAGGGAGAACCACTCCTGTGGGCTTGGGGACTAACGCTCTTCAGGAGCAGGCAGCCTCATCTATCTCCCTTAGAGCAGCCGGTGGTTTCAAACTACTGACTGGTGAACAGCCCAATCATGCATAACCTACTCTGCCACCAGGGCTCCTAAGTCCAGTCAAGATAAAAAAAAGAGAACGTATTGTCCCCCTTAAAAAAGAAAAACAAAAGGTACTTATTTGGGGATGTTGGTCAAGAAGAGGGTAAAGAACTCCCCTTATTAAAACCTACCAAGAAACCATCCCATTTAACCCTGAGACCCTAACTTGAATCAGTGTTTGAAGATGACCCCAGATGAATGAATTTGTGTCATCAAAAATGGAATTGTGTTGAACAGCTTGACATTGCTATCCAATGGTGCGGTGTGCATTTTTCTGTTTCAGATGAAGAACTAGCACTGGATGGGAGTTCTGACCAAGACCTAAGAACGTATCACAAGCTCCACTGGGAAGCAGAATTCAAGCCCGTGGCCCAGCAGCTGCTGAGCCGAATCCAGAGCCATCACACCTTCCTGGAGCCCCTGCCTGTCCCTTCTTTTTAACAGGAGCCAGTTAACAGCAGAGGCCGGGAGGCCGGGCGCCTCCATTCTGAAAAAGTGGTGCCCAGTGCAAACAGCTTTGTTCAGTCGTAACAAATATTGAAACGCTTCCCGGGTACTGATTTTAGTGAGCAGCTGAGGACTTTACAAGCAACAAGCGTTGTTCCTTTGGCAGCTATTATGAAAACAAAACCAAAATCCTGACTATTTAACATGTTATTCTTTCTACTATAAGCAATGTAAGTTGAAAATATATACATAGTTTTTTAAGCAAGTGCCCTTTCCTTCTAGTCTCCTAAAAATTGAGTGTTAGTCCTAAAATGCTGATCTCATAATTCTGGGGTGGGAGTGGGGCATGCCATGCAGACCCTAGACTTTGTCTCTAAGAGCTGTGGACAGAAGCACCACACATTACCACCTAAGCATCTGAATGAGCCCTTACTGCTGCTCGTAATGCAGTTTCTGATTCAGTGCTGGGAGTTTTTTTTCTGGTTCTCATATTACGTAAGCAGAAGAAGTTAGAGAAGATTCCTTGGAGGCATCTACCCTTGGTTAAGTAACACAGGAGGGCAGTGAGGAAAAGAGGAGTTGTTGACCTCTTTCCATTTGAAATAGAAGGCCGAAGCACAGTCCCCGCTAGTCACACCTCAGCTTGGGCCTAGGGAAGTGAGGAGTGTGGGGACAGGGCTGTGGGAACAGTTTGAAGTGTGATTCTGCCCTGCTGGCTGAGGATCTTGGGCATGTAATTTAATCTCTTGAGTTTCCACTGAAAAATGAGGCTAGCTCATACTTTCTTCCAGGGTAGTCTAGAATAAGCCAATGAACGAGCAAATTGCCCATCACAATGTCTGATGTGTATTAGGTGCTCAACGTGGAACTGCATTGTGATGTCAATTAGTGTGTACACCATTCTTCGCAGGACAGGCGTGATCTTTAAATAAATGATGAAAAAAACCAAGGAAGTAGAGATTACAGTGTTAAGTGAGACTGGTGTTCCCAAAGTGGGTGATACCACCCCCGGGGGCAGGTGGCACTTGAAGGATCAGGCGGGGTGGGGGAGGGGGGTGTAGAAGCAGGTATCTACACTTTGTATCTTAGATTATGGGGTCTAGTACAAATGGTTCAGTTCCCGGGGGGAGTGCTGAGTAATTTTGTTTTTCCGAAAGTGGGCAATAGGCCAAGTGAATTTGGGGCCCTATGTACAGTTGAAGAAGAACTGGAATTAAGAGCAAATTCACTCCTCTCCTTAGAGAGCAGCTGTTACCGACACCTTTCCTCTCTTCCTACCCAATACCAGGGCTCAGGGCATGAGGGCAGACAGCCCTACGAGACTGGCTCTTGGAAGCTACACAAATAAAGCAAGATTTGCAGGGGAAAAAAACAACAACAGACTTGCCAAGGGCTCTTCCGGTCTGGAGCTCCTACCTGGAGAGGGCTCCATAAGAGCCTGCAGTCGCCCAGCTGTAGTCTGTCTACTCAGGACTCTATGCTAGAGCTGTATCCTACTGCATGGCATCAGATGTCGGAAGGGTTAAGCTCACCGAAATATATAAGGCTCCAAGTCTTTATTTTACTCATCCCAGGCTCTACCTACTACTTGCAGTAGAAAAAGAGCAACCCCACCCCCAGTCAGCCCCCTTAGAGTTTAAAACTGACAGGATAACGTGATACTTGCTCTTCTCCCTACTGTACCCATCCTGTGGTGAAATGAGTCCCTTTATGTGACCTTTTGCTTTGGTTCTTCAGAGAACAGCTGGAGAGATTTTACCACAAAGCCCTGAGAAGTTACCCTAGCCCTAGTTTTCGACACCAGAGAAATCTATAAATACAACACAATAATGATCCAGATCCCAACTCTATTTTTTAGAGAAATGGAAAAAACAATCACTAACTATGGAGAAGGAAGAACCCCAGAATTAAGCAAAGACCTTCTCAAGAAGCACTAAGTAGGAGTCCTCACACCCCCTGACCCCAAACCTATTACATAGCCCCAGTAGTCAATGGCACAGAACAGGAAGTCCAGAAGTAAAGTCATCCACCTTCAGGCAACTGATCTTTGACAAAGAACACTGAATGGGAAAGAGATGGCCTCTTCAAAAAATGGGGCTGGTACATTTGGATCTCTAGGTGCAGAAGGATGAGACAGAACCCATCCCTCATCCTGTGTCCAAAACTAACTCACGGTGGATCAAGGCCCTAAATGTCAATCCCAGCACTATGAAGACGGTCAGTGAGGACATAGGGACAAACTTAAGGGCCGATGGCAGGGCACAGACACACTGCCAAACACAACAAAGGAAACGTATGTAGTGGACAAAATAGATGACTGGAACCTACTGAAAATAAGACTTATGTGCAATCAAAGATCTCATCAAAAAGGAACCCATGGCCCGGGGAAAAAAACTTCAGAATGACACAACAGACAAGGGATTATTCTCTAGAAAACTGCAATACCTCAATAAAAAAAAAATCCAAGCAAAAGTGGGCAAAGGACATGAACAGGCAATTCACCAACAATAACATCCAAATGGCTAACATACGAAAAAATGCTCAAGATTATTAGACACCTGGGAGATGCAAATCAAATGATATCATCTTACACTGACAATGACAGCCCCCTCCCCTCCCGGCCCCCAGTCAAATGCTGGAGAGGGTGCAGAGATTGGAACTGTCATACAGCGCTGGTGGGTCTGTAACTATGTAACATTGTAGACAGCAATACGGTACTACTTCAAACAATTGAGAACAGAAATCCCATACAAGCCAGCAATACCCATTAGGTGTATACCCCAACGGAGTAAGAGCTGTAACAGACATCTGCACGCCCGTGTTCATCCCAGAACTATTCACAATAACAAGGCAAACAGTCCAATGCCCATCAGTCGAAGAATGGATAAAGAAACTTTGGTGCATACATACAGTGAAGTACTATGGGTAAAACCATGAAGCACCTCATGACCTGGAAGAGCCTGGAGAACAGTATGCTGAGTGAAGTTAGTCATTCATAGACAAATATTGTATGGGACCACTGCTACAAGGTAAAAACCAAGACAGGCTTGCGTACCAATGGGAACAGCCCTTAGAGGTTTCCAAGGGAGGAAGGACATTGTTGGGAGGTGAAGCAAGGGACTAGAACAGGTGTCGGCAAACATTTGAGACAGAAGAGCCAATCCTGTCCCTCACAACAATTTATAAATTGCTAGAGAGCCAGAAATGTATAGTTACAAATGAAATCACCATTATCTGAATACTATCCTTAAAAATTTTCAATTTACTTCAGTCACATGCACCTACAGAAAGAGCCGAATACAGCTGGAGAGCCACATTTGCCACCCCTGGACTAGAAGGGGTTGGCTTGGGTCAAAGGAGGTATGGCCATCAATCAGGGAGAAGAGAATTTGGGGAAGGGGGTGGGGGGATGGAGATTGATGAATGGTTTTAACTGTTGAATGTAAAGTCGCTGGTCCGAAATATAAACTCCCCCGCTTAATTCACAGTAAAATTTTTATTATTTAAAGGAGAGTTTGGTACTTTGGTTCAAGTTGGTGGGGATTTCCTGGGAAAGCTGCAAACAAGTATGGTTCAATATTTTTCACTTGGTCTTGCCCTGTGATTGATATGTACCTTGCATTGATTGGTCAATAGGCTATGGAAATATAGCCTACTATGCAAATAGTATCTGGTCTACTGAAAGGGGACTGATCAGTACCTAGTCCTGCTGGGAGTGCCAAGCTTTGAAAGTGACAAGAAGTGTGTGTATCTAAGCAGTTTAGCCTCACAATAGTTTGTGAAATAGAAAGCAGCAGATGGAAGAGAAAAGCGGAGAGGGGCAATGAATCTCCTAAAAGCTGCAGAACAGGTCCAGATGGTGACAGATCTGACAGTGACGGAGGGCGGGGCCAAGAGGAACCTGTCCTTAGTGACCGAGAGGAGGTCTGCAGAGTCTGGAGGAGCTCAGAGCACTGTCCAGCACTAAAAGAGAGACTTTGCCTGTAAATTTCCAGATCCTGAAACGTAGCCCATTGTCCCTGATCCTGTCTGGCACCCTGTTCCAATTGTAATCTGAGCTGTGTGTGACCACCGCAAGAGAATATGGAACCCAAAAGAGAAGCAGAGAGCACCATGGGAGGGATGACTGGTGTCAGAATCGGTAAAACTGTCTGCCGCCACTTCGCAGAGATCTTGATTTGCGGCATCCCCCTTTCTGATGCTACTACCACCATTACTTCCACCTGGAACACTGTCCTTTCACACACACACGTGATGCTACTTTCAGAACACCTGAGATAGTTTATTGTGCCAGCCTGGCCGATAAACACAAGTGGGATTAATTGAAGGGCGGAGAGATAAATGGCTCTTTGAGCCTCGCCTCTCTTGCTTTTTGATCATCGGACCAGTGTGCGGCTGCCTTGCTTGTTCTGTGCCTTAATTTGCAATCTGCACTACCTGTGGGACGCCTAGCCTGTGGACTGTGTCGCTGTAAGTTGAGGTCCTTTAAGACCACACAATTGAAATTTGTATCTCTTCA